TGGCATCCGCATATCTGTCAGTGGAGAAAAAAAAAAACCTGAACTAATGAAATTAAGGGTATACCACCAGTAGTGAAAAAGATATAACATTACCATATACCCGATGTACAAAATAAGACTATCATCCAATATCAGTGCCAGTTTTCAGGTTAATCCAATTTGGATTTTTGTTCTAAAAATGTTATGCGAACTGCAGGATTGTCAGATATCAAAGGGCTGTCTGTAGCAAGTAATCCGGAGTCACCAATTGTCTTCCTAAAACTGGAGAAGTCAACTGGCTCAGTAAAAGAAGACTTCCGTCTCCTTGACGATATAGCTGATCATGTAAGTACATGGTTCTTTTTGCATAGAATTATTTTTGAAAGGCTTTCACTCGGTATCAATTATCTTTTTTCTTGGAAACTATTTAAATGACTCTGATCATTACACATTTGCAGGCTTTGAGAGAAGACTGTGTATTTGTAGTGACGTCAAAACGGTCAACACTTGATAAATGCCGGCTGCCAGTAGGCATCAGATTGTTTGTTTCTGCTGGACATTCAGAAGCGGATCTGGTCAAGGCATGTGAATCATTGCAGAGAGTTGCAGCACTGGTTCTCAGGGATGTTCACTAGTTACTTGCCATACATCAGTTCTCTTGAAGGCCAAGAACCATGGTTATGGTTTCAAATTGTACACGACTGTTGAAAATTTTTCTGGTGCAAGCCTGCTGAGAAGAGAACCAGGCTTGTAGATGTTTATATTTTCTCTATTATTTATTTGTGATCATTTAGAACTGCAATTTTTTTTTGAAGAAAAAATATTTGTTGCTAGAAGGGAACTGTATTGAGATTTAATCTGTAGCTGAATGTATTGGTATATCCTGATATGAAGATCAAGAACTATTTTGATTTTGTGTTAAATGGCGAAATGAAATCAGGTTAGGAGGTGGAAGATGAGGTTTTCTTTTGGTTCATTGATGGCGAAAACAAATTCATGGTGTGGAAGAACTTCCATGCAGCATTGATTTTCCTGCAACATCTGTTCAACCGAGCATCATTTTTCCTTCAACTCTTAAATTGCAATTGCTTCAAAGTAGATTGTGAGTAGATTACACTGAGATTCCGAGAAGCTGTCTTCAAAACAGAGGTTCTTTTCTTCACTTCCCACCTGAACATCAAAATGGGATCAATCAAAGATATTTTTAGCCTCATCATCGGACCCAGAGGCTTGAAATCTTGATTAGTGCAGAACGTTGGTTTGAACTATGAATCTGGATCATCTATTATGTTAACAATGGGATTTAATAATCTTGCAATGTAATATTGTGTAATTAACCATAACATGTGTAGTTTAATGTGATAATATGTAATGTAATAAAATTTAATTAATTTTATAATATAATATACTATAATTAATTACGTAGTTGAAAGGTTATAGTCACAATAATAACTTTAAATAGAATAGAAGAATCAATTTTGGTTGGAGAAATGTTTACACTAAAAGCAAACTTATTTTCACGGGTAACTGGTAAGGGAAGTAATGTTCTTGCAATAACCTTTTTCTTCTTGCTTATTTTGTTGGGAACATATTAAATTAATGATCAAACACCTAAAACAATATCAAAAAAAGAAGAAGAAAATTAAAATTAAAAGGCAACAGTAAACTATAATGATGATTCATCATCTTCTTCTTCATGATCCATCAGCTTCCAAGATCCATCCATCTGTTGAACCATACCTTTATTCTGTAGAATCCTCCATGAAACTGGCACAAGATATTCATCCTTCAAACAATCTAGAGATTTGTTAACGAGTGAAATATCACGTTTAACCTCCAATTCAAATCCTCCTTTACTCCCTTGTGTTCCTGCTACGCCATGCAAATACACCTCCAAGTTATGCCAAGTTGATATACCTTGAGGGCTTTTAAGGTACTTTGATTTTCGTGTATCGACTACCAATTCCTCCCCAACATCCAAATAACCTATCAATGGATAGTTTGGGACGACATCCATAGCATTACGGACACGCAAGGCTCGAAGATCTTGACATCCTAAGAATGCCTTTTCGAAGCTTGAATCACCCACACGAGGACTGGCGAAGACAATAGCTGTTACGGGACAACTCTTCTTTAGATGTTTCCTGGATTGGTTGACTCCATTGGCAACTATGTCAATGGCATTCAATGTTGCAATCGCGGCACCTAAGCTGTGGCCTGTAGTAGTTATGCTAATTTCCTCGTCATGGAATTGCTCCACTAGTCTCTTTACCTCATCAAGTACCTAATCAAATAACACATATCATATTTCATTGTTAATAATTAGAGTATTTAGATTAAACTTTTCGTATACTAAGATTAAATTTTGTATGAATTAAGTTAAAGAAAAATAATTAATATCAAGAATAAAGGGTTTTTTTAAAAAAATTCTAATAATTTTTATCTCGAATAAATTAGACTATTAATTTAAATTATAAATTAATATTTATTTATAATCAAATTTAATCTTAAAAATTTTTGATTAATTTTTACAAATACTTAAAAGTAAAAGAAAAAGAACCGATAAAAATTGATATAATCCATTGTGACTAATTTCACAAGAACCTAATATGATAGTGAAGAAAGCAAACTGTTATGTATACCCAGAAAATGTGATATTTCATTTTTTCTTTCCCTTTTCATTTTGCAGCATGCCACTTTATACGTGAATACATATATATACACACACACACAACATATATAAATCTAGGTTAGTAAAGTTACTGACTTGCCTGGTCTCGGACATTGGTTTTGTTATAAGGCGAACGTGGATCATCAGAAGTGTAAATAGAGTACCAACCTTGATGAACCCTAACTTGAGCATCATTATGATCATCTCCAAAGATCTTCTGACAAGAAACTAAATTGAATTCAAAGTCATCAACCCATTCAAGAGTCTGCACAGTTCCTCTCCAAACAATCACAATATCTCTTCTCCCAAGAACCATCTTGCCTTGATCAGTGGCCACTGCCACATACCCAATCCAATTCGACTCTTTGCTCCATGCTTCTCTCGACAGTGGCACCACCATGAACGCTTCTGGCACCCAGATCTGCGACGTCGCGTACAAGAATTTTGTAACACAATAGTTGGAAGAAATTGGATTATGTTCAAGACCCACTTTGGAGAAGAAATCTTTCTTGGAAAAATGACTGCTTCCTGCAAATTTTGAAACTTTTTCTGAGTTGAAGGTGTCGTATGCAGCTTGAGCCATTTCTCCATATTGAATAATATATTGACGGAGATCAGTGTCGAGTGGATCCAAAAGGCCATTCCAGTTGTTCTTGTGGCCGCTCAAGTATCTCCATCTTTTTCCCATGCTATTGTTATTGTTGTTATTCACCATTGTAACTTTACTCTTGCGCCCAAAAAACTTTCTCATGAGTTTCTCCATCGACGTATGTTGTAGTCAGTGTTATTTATATAGGATTTTGTGTGTGTATACATATATATATATATAGTTTTTTCTTTCTTGTTGCTTCAATAAATGTGATTAATTATTATTGTAATATGCATATACGAGTTTGACAAGGCAAATGTTTTCACGTCGCCACGTTGTCTGAAGTATATCAAACATAAAAAGTACTTCTCCTCCATTAATGTTCTTCCATTTTAAAAATACATACGAATCCATACATCATATTTAAATTCCAATATACCTATTTATGTATTTTTAGAGACAAAAGTAGACTTTTTTGGTTCATATCATAATTACAAAATATTTTGTATTAAGTGTATAAATGTTGTGTGTGTGTATATATATATATATTATTTTTTTTTAGTTTACATACATATTGTATGTACACTTTTTGTTTTTTTTAGTATTCATGTCGTATATATATTTCTTTTTTTCTTTTTTTTTTAATATATTCTTATTCAAATTTATAATTTTTTATAAAATAAAAGTCTGTATCAATCATTTAATTAAATATACATGTATTTTATTAAAAGAAAATCAATTTCACTCTTGTTGGTTTCACCTCTTGGGTTTTTGGGTTATTAATTTTCTGAGTAATGAATGAAAATAACTCACACTTGTGTAAACCTTCGACTTCATCAAGCAGACAATTTCTAATCTTGAAATCAAATAAATATTAGTAATTACAATTATTAGGTAATATATTACATTACAGTTAAAATATTTTGTAGAAAAAATTATTGTTCTTGGGTAATGCTTATACGACTTGTTTAACTGGTCACAATCATATTTCTAAATCAAGCATATAATCTTATCCATTTTAGAAAGAAAATAATTGAAGATGATACAGAGAAGATGGAGTTATTTCAATTCAACTGGATTTATGGTAAAGCTGAAATCCGATCATTACTATAAGTTCACTTGCTCAACCTAATTATTTTTACTTTCAGAGAAAGAAAAGTTGTAAATTTTGTTCAAATCCTAGTTTATAATTTTTATTTTTTAAAAGATAGCATCAATTCAAGTATATTTAATTTACATTTATATTTTCAAATTACAATATTAGTGTAACATCATTAAAACTAAATGTATTGTGTAAATGAAAATTATTTTAATTTATAAAAATAATAAATACACTTACAAATATGTACGTGTGTGTATATATATATATGTTTTATCCAACTATCGTCAACTTCTTGTGGGGTATGTTTCAACCAAAGGCTCAAGTAACCGGCCGGCTGAATTCTCATACATATATATATATATATATATATGAATATATGTGTGTGTGTGTATATATATATATATATGTATGATTAATATGGTTTCTTGTGATTGGACGTGTAAAGCAGAATGCTTAGAAATAAGCTCCTCCATTTTTATGCCAATTCTTTGCTTTCAAGGGCTCATCACTTCTTTCTCAAGCAAACAATTTCTTGCCACCTCAAAATATCATCAGTCTTCTTTTGTTTTTTTGTTTTTTTAATTTGTTCAAAGGAAGCAAAACCAGTTTTTTTCAAACTTTTTTCTTTTTTTCTCTTTGCTTTCACTCAATCTTTTATGTGAGTCACCACCTGTACCAACAAGCTTCTCAAAAAGAATATAATATATTATATATATACATATGTATAGTCTTTGATTTGGTGAGAAGATCTTGCAAGTTACAGAAAGTTCAGTGGTGCAGTATAACAAATGATTAGGGATCTTGAACATAAGAAACTCCTTTTAAAATTAAGTATACGAGAGGGATAAACTTTGGATATCTCTGTTTATTTAGAATTGCCTGTATCTTAGAAGATGTGACTATGTATAGTCAATGCTTTGTATATATTATCTGGTTGCATATGTTATATAACGTTACCTGTTTCATATTTATATATTTGATAATAGCTATCGAGAAAAGATGACTATATATGTAAACTTGTCTATATATACCTTTCTTATTGAATGAAATGAATGAGAAAAAAATATCTTATTTTAAAATTTCTTATATGATATTAAAGTTCTCAGCACGTTAATTTCAACGAAATCCGTAATGCTTTCTTGTCTTGTTCTTCATAATGACAGATTCTTCTTACTCGTAAACTTTCATTCCACAATCTATTAGCAATACAATATATTCTCACAATTTGGACGTACTATTATTATATAATATTCGAACTCGAAATTTTATTCGGAATTAATTTTAGTATTTAAAAATAAATAAAAAATTATTTATAAATTAATTTAATTTAATTTAATTTTTGTTGAATTTATTAAAAAAAATAGGTTAGTGATGTAATCGAAAATAATTTTAAGAAAAATAGGTAAAAATTTGAGTTCAGAATATATTTTTTTAAAAAAAATTAGAAATAAGGGGTTAAAGTGCAAATAGAAAAAATTATACTATATAAAACTTACCAGTCAGCAGTCCCGACAAACCGGGGCACGCCGCGTAGTAAGACACGCTGATATCGGTGCCACGCGGGCGATTCACGTGCCTCGCGATTGGACGGCTTAGGATCAATCTCGCGCGCATGAACAACTCACATTTATTTTTTCCTTAAGCGCGATCGGACGACCGATATCAAATCGCGATGGACGACCCAAATTCATTTTCTCCTTAGACGCGATCGGACGGGAACCAAAACCTTGGCCACCAACCCCCCGCCAGAAAAGGAGGCCGACCGTCGACCGCCATCGCACTGGAGTCACCGCCGACGGCCAAAAAAGTAAAATTTTCCCTACCCGCTTGTAATCTGATTCTGATTACTCTTGTGCAAAATCTGAGTAAAATGGGAACGCGAATGGGCTGAAAACTGCGGGTAAAGTCCGACGGACCCGCCACGGCCAAACTCCCAAACT